CTCAGTGCTCAATAACAAACGTGTTCTAAGTGGTTGAGATAAAAATCGGTACCCTCACTTGATTGAGCGATAAGATCTTTTTGAGGCCAAATTAAAAAGAAGATTAAGAAAGCGAAGAAGAGGGAAAAGAAGGCGAAGAAGGACTAACACCGTGTGAAACACAATCGCTGAGAAAATCTAAAAGAAAAGAAATGCAAGCGGGCGGAGTCATCTTTTCAAGCCTTTAGCCGACCCTTCCATCGGGGTCGCCTGTAGACACAGGTTTTCGTGCCGCCACCAGGTTTCTCCTCTCCCCCCCCCCTCGACCTGCCACTAACTGGGATCACACCTCCTCTTCGCCTGGCTTAGACGTCTCCTCCCACTCCACAGGTCCGCTTCCTTCGCAGCCCATGAGAGCCCCTTTCGACGACATGTATGCGCATACAAGTGTGGACGATGAATGGAGGCATGACGAAAAGGGTTGTCGAGATGGTCCAGACTCTGGTATACAGAGTCATGCAAACGTATAACTATTCACATGGCAACATGCCTGACTAGGAAAAGGACAAAATCGTGTGCATCAGCCTCCAATTCAGGCGATTTCAGTGACCCTACAGATTGGTATGCGATAAGTGGGATGGTGAGGTTGCTCAAGGCAAGGGAAACGATGACAGTTGCGTGAGCAGATATACAGAATGGGAAATGAACGGCTGGAGAGGATGGTAAATATTGAGGCAAAGGGATATTTCTGAAATGGCTTGTTCGCTAGTGCTAAAGCCGTTTACTCAGGTTGTATAATTGTGAGCAATATGTCTCCCAGAGCTCGGATCACACGACGACAGGGGCTCAACCGAATTGGAGAGATCTGACCCATACAGTAGGGCGACAAGAGAGCAATGACCGTTGGTGTGCAGTTCTACTCGTGTGTGCGCGTGTGTGCAAAAACGGCCGAGGAAGGGAAAGCAAAAACAGCCAACTAAGTTTGAGCGCTGTCCCCGTGTCTGTTTGGAAAGCCTGACAAAAAGTCTCGTTATTTCTCGGCTCGCTGAGGGTAGGGGCGAGGCAATTGTCGCATGCAATCCGGCCGTTGAGTCCCCTCGCGTGTCGTGCATGAATGGCAGAAGAAGAAAGTCTTCTCCCCTCTCCTGTCCACAT